GGGTGGTGGCGGGCGCCTGTAGTCCCAGCTACTCGGGAGGCTGAGGCAGGAGAATGGTGTGAACCTGGGAGGCGGAGCTTGCAGTGAGCCGAGATCGCCTGGGCAACAGAGTGAGACTCCGTCTCAAAGAAAAAAAGCAGCACTGTAACTAGGAAGAGGTGAGAATAAGGAAATGAATATGTAAATTACATCCACACGATGGAATACTAAGGGATCATTAAAAATTATGCACACAAATGTATATTTATTGGCAAGAAGAGGCGTTCACAATATATTGATAAAAGGGAAAAGTAAGTTTCCTGCTAGTTTGTGAGAGGCAGCTGTTGCTTAGTGATCAATAATTAAGAACACACAGGCTGTGTGGAGGCAGACACGTGGATCCACTAATTCACTGTGTGTCCTTGGGCTGTTTAATTGTTCTAAGCCTCAGTTTTGTCATCTCTAAAATGGGGATAAAATAGTATCCCTCATAGCTGTGGTTAAGTGAGATTATTTGCACATTCAATTGACAATATTTATTGACCATCTCTGTGGCAGGGAAAAGAATGTGTCCTGCCCTCTGAGAGCTTCCAGTCTAGCAAAACAAACAAAAAAACAAAAAAAAACAAAAAAACCAGAAATCCCACACCCATATTAAACATAAAAATAAATTACAGATGATGGTACAAGTGATCAAGGAAAGGTAATGGAGGTGATGAAACTAACAAGGGACCTGACTTGTGCTGTCAAGAAGACTGAAGAAGTGACATTTAAGATGAAACCTAAAATTATGAGAGAACTGCAGCTGTTACAGCCAAAGGGGAAATGATGGCATGGATAAAGGCCTCGAGGCAGGAGGAGCTCCTGGTAGCCAGCTCTCAGCATAAGCTTTGGCATACAGTAATTGCCTTGCATGCTGCTGTATGGCAATTGAAAAAATAAGGATCTGGCCAGGCATGGTGGCTCACGCCGGTAATCCCAGCACTTTGGGAGGCCGAGGTGGGCAAATCATTTGAGGTCAGGAGTTCGAGATCAGCCTGACCAACATGGTGAAACCCCGTCTCTACTAAAAATACAAAAATCAGCTGGGTGTGGTGGCGCATGCCTGTAATCCCAGCTACCCGGTAGGAGAATCACTGGAACCTGGGAGAAAGAGGCTGCAGAATGCTGACATCATGTCACTGCATTCCAGCCTGGGAGACAGAGCAAGACTCTGTCTCAAAAAAAAAAAAAGAAAGAAAAAGAAAAGAAAAGGCGGGGGGCGGGGGAGAGAGAGAGAGAAAGAAAGAAAAAGAAGAAAAAATAAGGATCTATGTGCTCACCCGAAGGTTAAAAAGGATGGAAGACCCAACAGCTGGCTGTCAGACATTGTTATAGGAGTAGTGAGATTTGGGGTGAATTTTACTTTCTTTCTGGCATTTCAGTATTGTTTAAATTACCTTTTATAATGAATGTGTATAACTAATGAGAAATAGTGTCTTTTTTTGGGAAAACAAGACAAGATTGTTCTCGTCATTGTTTACGCACAGGGAGGCTAGTATAGAATACACCAGTCTCACCCCGAAAGACACAGAAAACTAAACCGTGCTCTGGACCCAGCACTGAGCAGGAAGGTGCCACCTTCAACTGTGCTGCCTAGTGGCTCTTGCAAGGCCCCTCACACTAGTGTGTGACTGGTACTCTGGGGGGATTCAGCAACAACTCCCATACAACTCACTCTGGCCCAGGTCACCCCCACAACCCAGAATCTCAGTAACCCCTTCCAGAGGTGGCACACAGCACCTGTTCCCATAGTTCACTGGTGAACCTGCCCAGAGGCTGTGATGCCTGGCCAAGTGGACTGAGGGGGTACAAGTGAAGGTTCAGTAGAAATGGTGGAAGAATAGTGGCTGGACCCGAACCTCAGGAAACACTGGTATTTTCCCTCTGGCCTTGGGTCCCACATAACTGAACATCTCTTCCAGGTGGTACCTTGCTTTGACTAGCAGGAGGACAAGGGCTGGCTCTGAGATGTAGAGCAGCTTTTGACAAGTCCCTCCTCAGGACCTGAGCTCTTCATCTGAAGAGGGATGGACAGCCGGTCACGGTGGCTCACACCTATAATCCCAGCACTTTAGGAGGCCGAGGCAGATGGATCATGAGGTCAAGAGATCAAGACCATCCTGGTCACCATGGTGAAACCCCATCTCTACTGAAAATACAAAACTTAGCTGGTCGTAGTGGCAAGCGCCTGTAGTCCTAGCTACTCAGGAGGCTGAGGCAGGATAATCACTTGAACCTGGGAGGTGGAGGTTGCAGTGAGCCGAGATTGCACTACTGTACTCCAGGCTGGCGATAGAGTGAGACTCTGTCTCAAAAAAAAAAAAAAAAAGAAAGAAAGAAAGAAAAGGGATGGACGAGACTGGTAAATACTACGTTTCCATATCTACCATGGATTGGGTACCTGCTACGGGTCACAGAAGAGAATTTTATATATGGTTTTTCATTTACTTCCTCTGACCCTTCCTCTTCCCTCAATCTTTCAGGATTCAGTTCAGATATTACTTCCTCTAGGAAACCTTCCAATTGGATTAACCAAAAGTATGTACTCCACTGTTTGACACAGAGATGGGGTTAGAGAGGGAAATAATAAGTTTGGTTTTGGAAACATAAGTGATGAGAATTATCAGGTAGTAACAGGGCAAGTATTCAGCTTTTAAGTCTTAGAGGGTATGGCTGCCCAAGAAGAAAATAGAAACAGCCCCACAAAAACTTCATGCAAATGGAGGCAGGTGAGGAAAGAATCCAGAAGTGACAGCAGGCTCAGGCTTGACAGCAGGGAACTACAACAAGAAGCCTGAGAGAATCACCTCAAGGAGTTGTCAACAGCATCTCTCTGAGGACAGTGACGGGGAGGGGAGGAAGATGTGGGACTGGAATAAGAAGGGCTGTGGACCAGGGAGGTTTTCCCTCCCAGTGGACATCTGGCAATGTCTGGAAACATTTTTGGTTGTCATAACTGGGGGACTGCTACAGGCATCTCATAGGGAGAGGCCAGGGATGCTACTAAAATAGCCTACAATGCACAGGACAGCCCTCCTCACACACACACCCCAAACAATTATCTAGCCCCAAACGTTAATGGTGCCATCGCTGGAAAACGCTGGCTTAAAGGATATCAGGGAGCTCACAGACTCCCTGATGGTTCCAAAGACTGGGCCTAGCAGCTCAGTAGACAGGAGCAATGTCCAAGATCACACTGAGAACACCACTGTTGCCACCACTGGGCATCCCTGGCACTGGTCACTGGACTTGGCACTAGAACCACCCCTTTGCTGCTGCCCCTGGTACCTGTGACCACCAGCACGACTCCCACAGTGGTATATACAGTTGGTAGAGCTATAGTCACGTAACAATCCCAGCTGCAAGAGGCGGCTGGACAAACATGTGCCCTAGGGCCTTTACAGCTGAGGGGGTAGGCTCTGCCTGCAGTAAGACTCAGAAAGTGGACTTCCTGGAGCAAGTGACTATAACAATCAACAGTGGCAGCAAAGGGAAGGAGAGAGGCAGCCAGTGGAGTAGTTCTATTTGTTTCTTTGAAGGTGCCCATTTGAGGGTGGAAAGGACAGGATTAACCAAGATGGAGAGAGGATGAAGGTATTAAGAGGGAAGAGCCCAGGAGGAAGGAGGTGCCAGAAGGGGCAGATGAGGAGATAGGTAAGACCAGGCCCCTCTCTTTGGCTCTGATACAGCAGGCAGTCAGTAAATCTATAGGATGAACAAGGAACCATCAGAGAAGGGCACATATCACTGAGAAGTCACTTAAATTCCAGGTTTCATCCTTTCTTTTTTTTTTTTTTTTTTTTTTCTGTGAGACGGAGTCTCGCTCTGTCGCCCGGGCTGGAGTGCAGTGGCAGGATCTCGGCTCACTGCAAGCTCCGCCTCCCGGGTTCACGCCATTCTCCTGCCTCAGCCTCCCGTGTAGCTGGGACTACAGGCGCCCACCACCTCGCCCGGCTAGTATTTTGTATTTTTTAGTAGAGACGGGGTTTCACCGTGTTAGCCAGGATGGTCTCGATCTCCTGACCTCGTGATCCGCCCGTCTCGGCCTCCCAAAGTGCTGGGATTACAGGCTTGAGCCACCGCGCCCGGCGGTTTCATCCTTTCAACCACCGGGCATTCTGAGATGGGGGGGGCCCAAGGATCTGAGTGTGAAGAGCCTGGTTCTGATAACAACAGCTGGCAAGAGACAGCCCAGGCTGGTCCCAAGTTGCCCAGGTCTTGCCACCACACTGGGCTGCCTTCCCTGTTGCTCTGCAGTTGCCCAGCTCTGCTTCAAATTATACAAATCCTGCTAATGACAGAGACCCTAGAAGTTATTCAGTAGAACGAACCTCCAGCCGAAGCTGGACCCACACCTGACTGTTCTGAGGTATCCCTTGACCTCCCTGCCACCCCAAGAAAGCTCAGTCTGCTGCCAAGCAGGCCTGGTTCTTAGAAAGTTTTTTCCCCAGTTAAGGGGAAAGCAAAGCACCTTCTCTGCTAAGTCAGCAACCACAACCACTCTCCAGCATGAAGAGGACAGTGACTGGCCTGGTCCTCCCGGCAGGGAAGAGCTTGTGGGCTGGTCCTGACCCCCAGCTCCAGCTGCTGGCACCAGGACAGGTTAAACAGCTGAGCCAGTGAATCTGACCCTTTCCCACTGATGCAGGAAAATAGGGTCTGGAGGCATGGAACATAAGGCCAATTCACGCTTCAGCTATAACAGGAAATATCCTCCCCATAGGGCATATGCTGTAAATGAATCTGTAAATTTACTTCATCCTCTCCATTTACATAGGGTGTACCTCAGGTAACCAATGGAATCCTCTAGGGGGTATATACTCCCAAAAATTCTGTAAGGGGCCCCTTGAGCCCCTATGCTCAGGCCCTCTCCCACACTGTGGAGTATACTTTCATTCTCAATAAAACCCTTCATTCCTTCCTTGCTTTGTGCATTTGTCCAATTCTTTGTTCAAGACACTAAGAACCTGGACACCCTCCACTGTTAATGCCATGGTCCAGCCCTTTAGTTCACAGACTCTGGTGTCCATGTGGCTGGGGTCACACAACCTGAGAGGGGCAGGGTGGAGATGGAGCTAGGTCTGTTGAGTCAGTCCCACCACACTGCCCTGCCTCCACTGCCCAGTGAGTGGGCCCAGGTGGCTGGTGCAGTTCTGATGGGGAAATTTCTCCAGCACTCCTCCCAGCCCCCACACCCAGCTCTCTTCCAGCTGCTTCTTGTCCCTTTACTTCTGAGTAACTGACGGGTGCAGGATGTTCTGGGCCCTTCCATGAGGCTCAGCTTCCGTAAGGCTCAGCTTCCCTTTGTTGCCACGGCCCCGCAGAGAGGCCAGCCTCAGAGAAACAGGTTAGGGCTGGGCAGGGGATTCAGATACCATCAAATTCATTTTGCCAATGAAGCTGCAGCACAGGGAGGGGAAAGGGTGGGCCAGGGAGAGTCAGCAATCTGAAGGGCTAAGACTCAGATCTAACTTGGGCTCTGTCAGTGGTAGAGGGTTGGGTGTCGAGGGGATCTGGGATGGTTTTCTCTGCTTCTTTAAGAGGCAGATCCTGACTTGGCAAGGTCAAAGAGGCAGAGCTAGAATTCTCACTAAAGCCCTTCCCTCCTCTGCTTGGGAGGGGCATGAGTGTACCCAGGGCCACATGCCCTCTGCATCTTCCCTGCCCTGTGGCCTCCCGAGACGTGAAGCTGTCTGAGCCGTGCAGCTTATGGCAGCCATTGTGGAGTATGGCCTCCTGCAGGGCTGCGGCCTGTCCCCCTGCAGCCCCCCACCCACAGGTTGACTGTCTTCCAGCACTGCTGAAGAGAACAAGCTGACTTTCCTGTACTTGCTCAATGACTGTCCCCAGACATCTGAGGACAGAGATCATGTTGCTCCAAGGTCTTCTTGAGCTAAATGTTTCTCAGATCCCAGGACACTTCCAGGTCCCTTCCCAACACCAATCCTTTGTCAAGGGCAGTGCTGGGGTAGGAACAGGAGGCCCAAGCCAAGCCCCTTGCTTCTCTGCCCCGCCAGGGCCTGGCCCCCACCACCGGTGGGGCAGAAACATCCTCCAAGCTGTTTCTACATCCCTGAGCCTTGGTTGCTCCAAAGGGTCCGCTGGCGTTTATTGTGTCTCTGCAGAGGGGCTGGGACCTGTGCCAGGCAGCTCTGTGACACCGTGGGGCCAGCAGCAGGGTGGCACCCTCACCTGTGGCTCGGAACCTACTTCTGCTGCTTCCCCACCAAGAGTGGAAGCCAGCTGGCCAGAGGTTTTCAGCCACCAAAAGAGTCCAGGCAGGCATCGCCCTGCCTCCCCCAGCAGTCTGCACAGGGTCATATTTCCAATATAAAGTCCTCTGAAGGCCCCTTCAGCAGGAGGCCCCTGAGAGAAAAGCCAGCTATCTGAGGCTCAGTCCCTTCAGCCAGGGCTCAGACCCAGCTCCAGGGGGCTGGGAAAATGTGGCCTCTCCTTCTGGAAGGGGCTGGCTGGTGCTCTCCACCACAACCACATCTCCACCTCTTCTTCCTCCCGACCTGCCTCCTTGTGGCCCCTTGAGCCCTGAGCTGCTCCAGGGCTATAACTCAGACTGGGATCTGGAGATCCTTGGGCCTTTTCGGATCTCTTTCCGCTTCTCCTCTTTCTTCCGGCGTTTCTCTTCTTCTCTCAGGGCCTTCTGGAAAGGGTCAGTGCTGGGAATGAACTGAAGGGAAGAGAAGAGAAGTCTGATTTAGTCTGTGGAGCAAAGAGCCTGCTCTGAGCTAGGCCACCGGCAGGCTGTGGGAATAGGAAGGTTCCCTGGACACAGGCCCTGCCCCAGACATGGAGACAGTGAAATGGGTTTGGCGAGAACTGCTGAGTGTGTGTTGGAAGATACGCAGGAGTTTGCCAAACCAACAGCATGAGGGAAGAGAAAAGTATTCTGGATGCAGGGACAGATGCTGAGGTGGGAACCTACATGGGGCATCTGAGAAACGATACACAGATTCCTCCAGGGTGAGGGGATAGAGTGGGTGAGACCACCACAGACCTGGGAGCCCCACACCTGCTGCACCCTTCAGGAGGAGAGGAGAGAGGTCAGCCAGAGTCACAGACGACAGAGCAAGTAGCGGGGGTGGAGGATAAGGACTTCATTGGCAGCGGGAGATGGCAGGGGGGAGGGGCATTCTTCAACTGCAACCCAGGCCCTTGGCTTTCCTCCCTCTCTCTCCAGACCGTCTCATCTAACTCATAACTTCTATTGGCCTGTGTGGTCAGTTACCCCTCAAACTTGCATCTCCATGTTCAAATGCCTGTCTGAGACCTTCTTTAGGATGTCCCAAATGCACCCTAGACTCAGTATGGTTCCCTCTTCCCAGAGTACCTGTTCTGATGAGCAGCAGGGCAGAAACCGAGGAGCCCCACCTGCACCCGGCATTTCCTCTCCCTCCTTGGGTCCATCACCAAGGCCTGGCTGATTTCAAGCCCTAAATCTCTCTCAAACCCATCCACTTCTTTGTCTCTACTATTGCTGCCCCCATCACCACTCCCGCCTCTCTGCTGGATGACTCTAGGGGCCTCCCAAGGGCTTTCCACATCCCCTTTGGTCCCTCTCAAGTCATTCTCCTCACTGCAGCTGGATCTTTCCTTTTCTTTTTTCTTTTTTTTTTGAGACAGAGTCTTGCTCTGTTGCTCAGGCTGGAGTACAGTGGTGCGGTCTTGGCTCACTGTAAACTCTGCCTCCCGGGTTCAACTGATTCTCCTGCCCCAGCCTCCCAAGGAGCTGGGATTATAAGTGCCCACCACCACACCTGGCTGATTTTTGTAATTTTAGTAGAGACAGGGTTTTGCTATGTTGACCAGGTTGGTCTCGAACTCCTGACTTCAGGTGATCCACCCACCTCAGCCTCCCAAAGTGCTGGGATTACAGGCATGAGCCACTGTGCCGGACGGATCTTTTCAGAATGAAAATCTGTTCATGTCACATTCCAGCTTCCACGGCTCTCCATGACTCTCAAGACAAAGTTCTACACAGGTTATCTGCAGGTCTACCCCGGCTGCCTCTCTGTTCCTACCTCATATCCTCCGCCTTTATGTTCTTGGATTCCCTGTACCCTCTCACTTCCAGGCCTTTGCATGTGCTGCGGCCGAGGCCCAGAATGCTCTTTCCAGCACCCACCCTTCTGCCACATTAGCTCGGGCTCAGCTGGTTCACTGCCCTCTAGACCTGCCCTGACTCCCTGAGGGGCTGCTCCTGGTGGTGTGCTGTCTTCGACTTTGTGCTGATTCCTTCTTTCTTGTGCCCATCGCCCTCCCAAACAGCACATTCCATGAGGGTAGGAGGATAGTGTCCTCTGCCACAAGGCCTTAGCACAGAGTCTTCCTGGCTTTTCGAGAGCACTCAATATGTGTTTTTTTCAATGAATGAGCAAGCCACGTTAGAATAGGAAATACAATAGTACAGCAGGTCCTCGAATAATGTGGTTTAGTTCAAGGTCGTGTCATTATAATGTGGATGAGAAAAAAAAAAACAATCGATTCCTGGCTGGGGCCACTGTGTGGAGTCCGCACATTCTCCCCATGTTCTGGTGGGTTTTCTCCGGGTACTCCAATTTCTTCCCACATCCCAAAGATGTGCATATTGGGTTCACTGGCATGTTTATACCGTCCCAGTCTGACTGTGGAGGTGTGTGTGAGTGCGCCCTGTGATGGGAGGGCGTCCTGTCCAGGGTTGGTTCCTCCCTTATGCTCTGAGTTGCTGGGAGAGGCTGGACCCTGAAGGGGACTAAATGGATAAATAATTATCTTACTTGTTTTGATGAATCTTTCTTAAATATATGTACAGTTCACATTTATTTCAATGTTTCATATTAAGAGTGTTTTGGTCTTTATTTTGAAAACTAGAGTTGGGCACTGTGGCTCATGCCTATAATCCCAGCATTTTGGGAACCTAAGGTGGGTAGATCACTTGAGGTCAGGAGTTCGAGATCAGCCTGGTCAACATAGCGAAACCTCATCTCTACTAAAAAATATGAAAATTAGTCAGGTGTGGTGGTGAGCGCCTGTATTTCCAGCTACTTTGGACGCTGAGACAGGAGAATCACCTGAACCCAGGAGGTGGGGGTTGCAGTGAGCCGAGATTGTACCACTGCACTCCAGCCTGGATGACAGAGCGAGACTTTGTCTCCAAAAAAAAAAAAAAAAAAAAATCTGGTAATGGATGGTTTTTTGACCAGAAATATGCTGTAGTAACTTAACTCTTAATTTATATCAATTAGCCTATGGTAAGTTGGTAATACATAGATTCACTTAAAGTCACAGTTTCCAAGAACCTATGGATGATGTTAAGTGAAGATGTACTTTGCCTACAACTGAGGTAGCTGTGCTGTAAAACACACCCTTTTATTTGTTCTTAGGGCAATAGTGACAAACGTTTGATCTGATCAAAGTAGATACTAAAAACAAACAAATAGCTCCACCTTGTGGAGTAATCTGCCTACCAGGTTAGATTAAGTCATGACTCTGGAAGATGGGGGGATTCACAGAAGTATAGACCAGAGAAGGTAAGTGAGTCACACAGCATGTGGTAGGCCCAACTAGGACTAGCCTTGCAGGCTGCACACTTCCCAGCCTAGTACGTCCCTACCACACTCTGCTCCTATCTCTGTGAGTGAATCCTGATCCACTTAAGACAGGGAGCTGGGAGACCCCTTAGGCCCCAGAGACCCCATTCCTCTCTGACTCTGGCTGGGCAAGGGCAAGTCAAGAGATCTTAGCCCCTTCAGTCTCAGCGGGCTCAGCTCAAACTAGCTGGGTCAGAAGAGAAACACACCCATCCTTTCCCCATTCCACCTAGGCCTGGCAGTGCCTACTCATCTTTCGAGTCTACTTTAGATGTCTCCCCAGGAATCTTCCCTGGCCACCCCTGATAGTACCTGACCAGCCTGGCTCAGGTCAGCAGGCTGACGGCCAATACAACATTGTGGTTAAGAGCATGGCTCAAGAGGCAGACCACATGTATTTGAACCTTCATTCCATCACTTACTGGCTGTGAGACCTCAGCTTGATTACTGTACCTCCCTATGCCTCTGCTGTCTTCACTGTTAGGCTAGTTATCAATTTATTTCCTCTCTATTCCGAATTCACTCTTCATCGCCTGCTCTGTGAAAATGCATCTGGCTCCAAGATAGAGCCCCAAACTCCTAAGCTTGGTGTTGAAGGGCCCAGACCCCATGCTACATCTCCAGCCTTATCTCCTCCTGTCTTCAAGCTACCCTGCTCTGCCTGTCCCTGACAACAACCACATCCTCCATAGCCTCAAGCATGCCACTCTGGCCACTGCCTTCTATCTTCTCTAACTCCTTAGCCCTACTATAACCACAAGCAGGCCCTCTGTGCTGCCAGCAATCCAGCCTCATTTCCTGGTCCGCTTATCCTCCTGCTCTCCTGCACATACCTTCTCCTCAAGCCTCTGTGCTCCCCTCACTCCCAGACCATGACCTTGCTTTCTATCTCACAGAGAGGATGAAAGCAGCAGGAGACAACCCCCACAGCTCCACCACCACACCCACCAACCCATTTACTTCTGTGCCCACATACTCTGCCTGCCGTCCTGTTCAAGGTTAAGGATCTGCTCTTCTGTACAAGGCCAAGCCTTCCCCCAGCACTACAACTCACCCCTCCTCACCTCCTCCAGATAAGGCTCCAGCAACCTGGCCCCTGGCCTCATCAGTTTCTCCCTCTCTAATGGATCAGTCCCATCCACACAGTGCAAGCCTGCTGTGGTCTCTCCCAAGGACTAACATTTGAAACGACATTGTCCTCCAGCTATTCTCCCATTACACTGCTCTCTTTGAAAAGAAAACTCTTCGAAAGGGCTGTCTAAACTTGCCACATCCACTTCCTTTCCTCTCATTCTCTGGAAATCAAATCTTTTGTTCCCAGCACCCCGCCCCCCAAAGCAGCTTTTATCAAGATCACCAGTGGCCTCAACATTGCTTGGCCCAGCAGTCGATTCTCAGTCCTCGCCTTCCTTACCTCCCAGCAGCGTCTGACAAGCCGATCGCTCCCTCCCTACTTCCTCTAACGCTTTCCTCGTGTGGCCTCTGGGAAACTCTTGGGGTGGCCACCATCATGCTGAGTGCTCCTTCGGCGGGTTCTTGCTGCTTCCTCCTCAGTCCTTCAACCTCTTATCTCCAGCCCCATCCCACGCCTCAGTCCTCAGACTGCTTTTATACCTGCCCAATGCCCCAGATGACTGTGTCCTGTCTCACGGCTTTTGGTGCCTTCTACATAGGCATGGCTCTCACATTTACAGGTCCAGCTTCTACTTCCTCCCTGAAGTCTAGAGTCAAATATCCAGCTACCTCCTTGACATCTTTACTCTGATATTCACCAGGTGCAGGAAAAAACTCTTGATACCCTCTCCAAGGATTTGAAAAAATGAGTCCCATTCTTCCCGACACTCAGGCCAAAAGTCTTCTAGTCATGCTTAACGCTCCTCTCTCTCTCACCACAACTGCTTCCTCAGCAAATCCCACTGGCTCTACTTCCAAAAGAGAACCAGAACCTGACCATTTCTCACCAGATCCACTGTCATCGTCTGGTTCAAGCCACTATCAACTGCCACACAGATGAGTACAGCAGCCTCCACACCTGGGTCCCTGCTTCTGGTCCCCGACCATGCTCCACACAGCAGCCAGATGATCCCTTTAAAGTGGTAAG